AGAGTTTGGCCCTTCTACGCCCCGCATACATTGAAGCCCTTAAACGCTTGCGCTCCTTCATTGCCCCAGATGTTTTCATTGCTGCCTCGGCTTCTGTCAGCCTGCGCCCGACGCGTTGCTGCTGGAGTTCTTCGCGTTGCCGACGAAAGACGATCGCAGACCTAAGAACGACGAGACCCTCATTCTCCAGCAACAAATGTTCGGCGGCCGCAGGGGCAGTCGCAAGCAACTTGGAGGCCAAACGGGCACCATTCAAATTCAGTGCACGGGCAATTGAACGGAAAATCATGATTTTCGTCTCCAACTCAGGAGCCTGTTGTTTCATCGCGGAATCTCTGGTCATGCGGGCCGCTTCCCGAAGGGGGCGCTTGCATTCTCGCCATCTGGCTATGGCGGGGAGAAAGTAAAGGGGGAATGGGACACCGGAAGCGAGATGAATTTCGAGAAGGCAGGGGGGCAACAGACATGGCGTGGGATTGGCTGCTCATGCAACGGGCGCGGCGGGCGAGAGGCAACAGTCACGCGCGCAGGTGCGTGATCAGAAAATGCCGCGGTCGAAGAGCTCATCAGGCCTGTCCAGAACCGCCGCCGACATGCTCCAGTCGAGGAGCAGCCGGCCAGGGGTCGAGATGAACACCTTGTCCAACTGCGAGGGCCTCTCCCCATCCGCCACATAGTGCGCGGGCTGCTCAGGGTCCAGCTCCACTGTGCCCGCCAGAGCATCCAGCCATTGTTCGCCTCTCTCTCTGCGTCGCATCTGATTGAGCAATCCCTCGTCGATCCCAGGCGTCGCGATGTACATCGCCGCCTTCTCATGGAAGTTGAAGTCGCCCATTAGCATGGCCGTCGACCGATGAGGGTTCCCTGCAGCAATAGCTGCCTCAGCCGCAATTCTCCTCATCAATGTCTGGGCCGTCGCCTCATCCGATCCAAAATTGTGCATGTTGTAAATCACCATCATAGAGTCCTTCCTGCGTGTGCCATTCGAACTTGAGGCCCGCGCCATTATCTGCAATCTCTGCGCATAGCATGGTGCATTCACATTGTGGCGGGCACGCCCCTCCCCCAGTGCCAGGTCCGCCTCGCACTGAGAAAGACCGCGAAGAAGGATCGCAACCCCGCCAACATCGTGTCTGGGTATAGAAGCAAACACCGCCGTATTCTTATGAGTCAGGTAGAACTGGTGTCTCTACTCCTCCTCGGTACCATGCGTCTCCTGCAACGCAATCATTGCATGTGGACGAATCATCTCCGCCAGCCGCGCACACTTGATCTTTCGAGTGGATGGAAGGTGATGAAGAAGAGCGCGAGTGTTCCAGGTGATGAAGGAGGGGGCAACAGAAGAGAGAAATGATAGATCCTCATGCCACGGCTGCCATATACTGTTAAATCTGCCACCGTATTTCCTCCGCCGCGTGAAAGATACCATTGGACCTCGCCAGAAGGGCGTCCTTATCAACATGTTGCGAACTAACCACAGCATAGTTCCAAAGAGGCTTGGTCGGGTCATCCTTTTCTTGGCCAACATCGAGCTGAACACACGGCGCACCCTCCAAGAATCTGATTCCTTTAGTCCGGTCATGTCTGACTCGTACATTCGGAAGTAGTTCACGAACCAGGCCAGCCATTTTCTTAGTTTGAATTTCACGCCGCACCATCTTGTCACTTTTGTCCAGCCCGACGTTTATCCTGGACTGGCCCCTTCAGTCGTAGGCGTGCTGAACTGCCTCCACTCACCGTTCTGTCTGAGATACCGCTGCGCCTGTTTCCCCTTCCGCATAGCCGCATTCGCGTCACCCGACATCTGCACCTTGAATATCCTGCCTGGTGTGTTACCGATGACCGACCAATGCTGCTCCTCGAAACCTGCTTCCTCCATCCAGCCCTTGAGCTGGTTCTTGACATTCTCGATAGTGACGTTGGACTCCGTGTTCGCCACGAAGATCGAGCCATCTGGATCCCTGTCCCACTCAATCGCACTGCCGAGGTCTTTGATCGGGACCGTCGTCTCTGCAATGTGGAGCTGACGTCTGAGCTGCCCCATCTCCGTGCGCACCTGCTGTTGCTGAACTTCGAAAGCTGATTGCAGCGTTCGTAGCTCATCCAATTCTCCCCGAACGTGTGTGTTGACCTTTTCTTGACGCTCACTGACGGCTTTGACGAGCTGCACGGTGTGACCGTTGATGTCGGCGATGATCCCTTTCTTTGTCTCATCCATGCGCGCGTCAAAGGACCGCTCCATGTCATTCTTGAATGCCGCCAGCATCTCGTCAATGGCTCCCCGCGAGATGGCCGAGGAGCTGTCACTGCTTTCAGCTTGGCCTCGATTCGCGGGGTTGGCAGCCGAAGAACCCGCCCATGGGTCAGCTGACCCTTGAAGAGGATCAGCTGAGCGAGCACCAGCAGCAGGACGACGCGGTGGCCCCTGCCCAGGCAACTGACGTGGGCCTGGCGAGGTACGTGAACCTTCTCCACCCGATCGAGAACGTGTGTCACCCGACCCACGGCCACCTCCCCGTTCTTGACCTTGGCGGGCAGCGGCTGGTCCAGGAGCAGGCGCCGCCGCCGGCTTGCCGCCACGCGCATCGCGGGCAGTCTCGGGCATCGGCAGGCCCCCAGGGGGGGCTGTCGCGGGCGGGAAAGAGGGCCGAAACGGCGTTGCGCGAAGCGTGAAAGAAGACTGCTGCGGCCAGGGCAGGCTCACAACAGAGATGATTGAGTGTACCCTATCCCTCTCGAGAAACGAGGACGGACGGGCCAAATCTAATCGCAACACCTCGGGTGCTTCACCCTTCGTTACGTTTAGACTTGAGCCAAAATGGCTACGGACCTCCTCCTCCTCCTCCTCCTCCTCCTCCTCCTCCTCCTCCTCCTCCTCTGGCGCTCTGTGAGCAGGGCGCCGGCGGCAGGCTGCCGGGCGCGCATGCGGGGAGCGCGCTGGCCGCAACGTCGAACAGGCGCCAGGCGTGAAGGCGCCGGCGCCAGCCAGCGACGAAGATCACCCGACTGGCACGTGTGTCGCGCGCCGGCGGAGAGAGAGGAAGAGAGAGGGCGGCGAGAGCCTCTGTGCGTGGCAGAAGACACGGAGGACCGGCCAGACTGCCGGCATGCCTGTGGAAAAACGGGGGCCAGGGCCATCGTCATCTGACCGCCTATTGCCATCGCCTCTCCTGTCTGACGACCTACCAGACCACCCCAACCCAACCCGAAGACCCGAATTCGGGTTGGGTGGGGTAAGGGTTCCACGTGTTTTTTCGATGGTTCCCGACCCCCCCCCACTGGAAATCGAGGGTAAATTTGAGCCTTCGGGTTGGGTTGGGGTGGTTTGGTGGGTGGTGACTGTCCTCCTCCTAGAGCCCTGGGGCGTGGGCTCGTCTTTTGCCTATACTGAGCTGCTGGCGTGGTCAGCTAGGATGCTTGATTAAACGCATGGCTCACCACGCCCCCAGATCGGCTGGGCTTCCGTCTCCTGCTCCTGCTGGTGCTTGCCCGTCTTCAAGAGCTCCCAACTTCGCGCTCTCGCGCTGCGCGGAGCGCGAAGTGCGAATAACTTCGCGCTCTCGCGCCGCCTCCCAGGGGAGAAGAGGAGGATGAGGAGGAATCGGAGCCGAACCGCGAAGCGCGAATAACTTCGAGCCCTCGAGGGCGCCCTTGGTCGTTCCCCCCCTTCTCCTCTCACGTTCGGGGGCTCAAGCCATTCTGGGCCAAGCTGGCCCTCCCACGGGACCCTGAAGCGGCCCCTCCACACCCTTTTCAGCAGACGCTTCGCCGCGGCGGCGAAAACCCCTGTGCGTAGCAGAAGACACAGAGGACCAGCTAGCCAGCCGGCAAGCCTGTGGCAAAACGGAGGCCAGGGTCATCGTCCTCCTCCTCCTCCTCCTCCTCCTCTTCCTCCTCCTCCTCCTCCTCCTCCTCCTCCTCCTCTTCCTCCTCCTCCTCCTAGAGCCCTGGGTCGTGGGCTCTTCTTTTACATATGCTGAGCTGCTGGCGCGGTGAGCTCCCCGACTGGCCGACTTCCTGATTCCCCACTCCCCCACTCCCCGCCTGGCCGACTCCCCGATTCCCCTCCTGACTCCTGGACTGGCCGACTGACTCCCCGACTCCCCGACTTCCCGACCCTGACCGACTCCCCGACTCCCCGACTGGCCGAATCCCCGACTCTCCGACTCCCCCACTTCCCGATGGGCAATTGGAAAGTTCATTCCAGTACCTCACAAATTGTCCTACTCGCCCCGGAGGGTGAGCCGGGCCAAGTGCGGTCCTTTCCCGCCTATGACGGCTTCAAGGCCTCCCGAGAGGTTCCTTGGAGACCCTCCGGAGGCTCCCCAGGGCACTGGCGGGGGGATGCGCGAGGCGGGGATTTATCCATCACCGCACCGCCTGGGGAATCGCTCGTTGGGGACGTCGGCAGGCGGTGGTGATGTGGATATATTCGCCCCCTCCCAGGGCCTGGATATGTCCATATCCGCCGTCTGCCGAGGTCTCCGATGGTCGATCCCCCAGGCGGTGGCGATGGATAACTCCCCGCCTCGGACAGAAGACTCATGCACTCCTGCTCTGCGCTCCTCCCAGGGACGGGGGGGAGGCCCCGAGACCCGACGTCGCGAAAGAGCGGCAGGGGCCTGAAAAGAAGCCACAACCCGAGCTCACGAGCGTGTCTTCCTGCACGATCCTGCGAGCTCAGATCCCTCCGGGAGGGCCCCAGGGCCCAGGGCCCCCCGGCGGCGCCTCCGGCGCCGAGGAGCACCAAGCGGCACAAGCAAGAACCTTCGGAGAGCTGCGCGGACCTCCCGGGTCGGCGCTGACCCCCGCTCCTGCTGTGCGAGGCGCGCCCCGGTCGGCGCGGGAGGCGCCGCCGGGCGGGGCCCACCGCCGCCGCAGAAGATTCATGGTCGTGCCGGCTGTCGACGACGACGGACGACGACGACGACGACGACGACGACGACGACGACTTACGAAACGGGCCACGGCGGCGGCCTCGGAGGGGCGGCGGCGGCGCGGGCCTTGCCGTGGCCCTCCCCGCCGCGGGCGGTCTTGTGATGCCGCTGGAGCGGCTGGCGCGTGGCCTTGGGGGTCCTCCGGCGCGAGGGGGCGAGCGAGCGCGCGAGAGCGCACTGCGTCGGTCCGACGGACCGCCCTGCCAGAGTGCACCGCTGGCGCAGGCGGTGGTAGGCTCCAAGCTTCGTGCAGCCACCCCTCTAAGGAGCTGGTCTTTCCGCCCGGATCGTGCCTGACGGCCCCAGAACCCCAAGCACGCCCCAGGAAGGACGCCAGGATTACATAAAATCACGACGCTGTAGGCCTGGGAGATGCCCGAAACCTTGTTGGGGTTTCTCGCACATCAAATCCCATCCCTCTCCACCCTTCCCCTTGCTTCTCCTGCTCCTCCTCCCCGCACTCATTTTCCTTCCTGCTTCCTGCTCCTAGTCCTCCTTTCCCTGTGTCTCGTCTTGGCTACTCCTGTTTCTCCTCCTCCTCGTCCTCCTGATCTTCATTCTCCGTGTCGAATATGTGTCGCCGCTTTCATCTGCCACCTCCTGCCCTGTTCCGACCCATCCAGCAGATCATCAATCGTACATCGGCCGCCTGATTCAAAACCGTGCTGTAGGCATGCGCCCAAACGCATAATGAATATGTATGGCTCTTGTCGCTAGAACTATGGTGAGTTTGTGTGTGTGCATGCATGTGTTGTTATATGCAACGCGTATGCAGACAATTGTGGTAGTAGCATCATGTGCGGTATACGCATTGTACGAGAATGAATGATGCGCAGTGGGAATGAACACATCCAAACCGCATGTTCGTTTGAAAGTTCCAGTGTTGCCAACTAGATATCCACTAGAGGCACGCGCACGCTCAGATTTTAGGCCCCTGTGGGAAATCTGATCTGCCAAGCATGACCAATGGGGCCTTCATCTTGAGGGCGAGGATTGCAAGTATGTAAGCATGCTTCCCCCCTGTACAACTGTCCCCCCTCCACCGCGCTCTCCACCGCCCAAGGGGATGGGAATGGGCAGGGGGGGAGGGGGCGGGGGGCCGGAGACCGGCAGGGAGGACGGGGAAACAGCAACGGAGAGGCGACGACAGACGAGGGTCCCCAGGCCTGTCTCGGGGGTCTCTTCCTAGGGGTGCCTTCAGGACGCCTTGAAGGTATCTTGGGCAGTCATGGAGCCCCCCTTCAGACTCGCCTGGGCGACTGAGAACCAAGCGAAGCGAACCTAGGCGAATGAACGCCAAGCGAAACAGAACCGGGGGAATCGAAGCTCGGTGAACCGACGCTGGGCGAATTGGAACAAAGTGATTCCAGCGCGGGTGAATGAAAGCGGGCGAATCGAAACGGACGAAGTTAAACCTGGGCGATTGGAAACCCGATGAAATTCAACCCGAGCGGTTCAGAACCGGATGAATTAAAACCCAAACGAATGACAACTGGGTGAATCATTACGGGTGACTCAAAACTGGTGAATCGAAGCGGGTGAGTCAAAACGGGCGAAAGGAAAAGGGTGAATTTAAATGCGGGTGCAACAATGCAGAGTCCTGCGCTGAACCCCCTCGCTGGCGCGCGGAGCGCGCCAGGGGCGGCGCCAGAGGCGCCGCCAGGGAGGCCGAGTGCCGATCCAAGACAGCAGCGCGGATCTCCGAAACTTTCTGCTCATGTTACCTGCTCTTCTTCGGGAGTTGCCTCTGCCGTGAGTTCTCAAGCCGCGAAGAAGTCCCGTGGATGATCGCCATCATCGTCTGAGGCGAATCGGAAAAACGCACTGCGCGTCCTGCAGCACGGCAGCGGGAACTCCACTGGCTCGCCCTGGTCATCAAAGAGCCTCAGCGGGGGTTGTCGCACAAGCTTCTCTGCGGCATTGCCTCTGGCAGACCCTCTTCTTCCTCCTCCTCCTCCTCCTCACATTTTTCCGTTTCCTCCTCCCCCCGCTCCTCAACATCACACCATCTTCATGCTTATGTGTCTCCTGTTCCGTCTGCTCGTCTCCCTGACCATTTCCTTTTCCTCCTCCTCCTCCTCCTCCTCCTCCTCCTCCTCCTCCTCCTCCTCCTCCTCCTCCCCCATCCTCCTGATCATCGTCCTTGTCATACACTTTTCAATCTTCCTCTTCGTCTTCTTGTTCTTTCACCAACTCGCCGGGCCCCTGGGAGGGTGTGTGGGAGTTTCCGAGGTCCCCCTTGAACAAAAACGACTCGCGTCCCGCCAAGCCTCCACGACGACCAGTTCCCACCGCTGCAGGTCCACGAGGCTGTCGGGCAGATGGGGGCGGTCGCCACCCCGAGCCGACGTCGTCGCGAAGCCGCGCGGGCGCTGGCCCGCGGTGATCCGTTCCAGCAGGCCGTCCCGCCAGCCTCCGCCGGCATCGCCCATGGCCGTGGAGCCCTTAAACCTCTCAAGACGACTGAAGCGGGCTCGCTCGTCGAACCTGCACAGGTCCCGGACCTCGTTGGGCGTGACGTCGGTATTCAGGAGTACGCATCCCTTCATCGAGGCGTCGGTCATGATCGCCACCGGGCAAGGCGGCGCCCCGAAACGGCCCTCCGCCATGAACAGGAGCGCCCTCGCCACCTTCATCTCGCATCACGCCGCCTGGGGCAGCTCGCGGACCTCGCTGAAGTCCTCCTGGAAGGATCGACTACGCGTAGGAGTGACCCTGGGCAAGAGTGACCTTTGGTGCGCGGCTTCAGGGGCGCCCGTGGTGGCCCAACGCAATTGCGCAAGCCGGCGTTGCCGCGCCGCATAAAGCATCGGCGGGGCCCCACCCGAAAGATTTGTGGTGCCGGCGGGCAACCGCATAATTCCGCCGATAGAATTCGAGCGCCCCGAATGGCACTTCGAAGGCGAGGCGAAAGATATCCAAATATATCCAAAGATATTCAAGCCAGACGTTTTCAGATTTGGGCTGGAATTCGGGACTGGCCCTGGGCCGGAAAACGCGCCGTCTGGTCGACCGGCCCCCTCGTGGGTAACCGATTCAAGCTGTAGGGTGCGACGCGTATGCGTTGCTGTCGATTGCAGGGGGTGGGCCCGAACCTGGCGCGCTCAGATGCGAGCGTAATCGCGCGATGCGGGTGCCGATGCGAGGTCGAGCTCATCCCATGAGAAAAATCGCCCGCCCCCCCGTGGGTCAGCACCATATGTCACTTCGGCGAAGGGTAGTTTTCACGTGTAGTCGAATGGACTCGGCCAGAGCCCTGGAGATCGACGGCCCCGGCCTCGTGCGAAACGAGGCGACCTGCGACCGCCCTGATCTGCCAGCCCGCGGCCCCCGTGCAGCCTCCAGAGGCGCGGGGGCTTCGGGCGGGCCGCCCCTTGGACGCCATCCACGACCGCACCCGGGATCTCCACCTCGACGGCCGCGCCCTGCTACTCGCGCCACTTAAGCCGGGCCTGGGCGACGCCCCGCTCCAGCCCGATGACGTTTGCATTGTCGACGCAAGGGAAATCGCACACCATGCCCTGCGCTAGCTGTACTTTTCGCCTTGTCCAGGGCTGGGGCGCCCCGCGGACCCGCCGAGCTGAACGTCGCATGGGCCAGCGTCTCGCGGCAGATCCACGGGGCCCAGGGCCAGCCCATGGCCGGGCCGCCGTAGGCGGGCCACGCGTAATCACCCGGCGCCACGTCTAAGAAGCCGCCGACGCTGCCGCCGCGGACCTGCCGGGGCCCCAAATCTCCGGCCCGCGACCCCCCCCGAAGTCGGAGACGAACCGCTCGGCGAGGTGGGGGATCTCGAGCTTGTGGAAGCCGCCCTTCAGGTCGACCATGCAGCGAACGCGCCGCCCTCGTCGGGGCCGAAGCCGCATCTCTGCCGCCAGTCGGCCCCCACCCGCGCCGACGCCAGCGCCTCCACCGACGCCGTGCTGGTCTAAGGGGGCAGCCTTTGGAACTGTTTGGGCTGCCTACGGGAGGGGGCCCGCCGTCGCTGTCTTGCGTCGCGTGGTCACCGCGATCCCCATGTCGGCGAGGCGCCTCAGCAGCTTCAGGTGTCGCGGGCGTTAAGCCCGGTTCGGGCAACGGGCGCCCTGCCTGTCCTACCGGTGGCCCCTCCCAGCCGCCCCCTTGCAGAGGTGGAGGGAAAAGGTAGAGGACGAGCCAGAATGGGGAGGAGAGGAGGAATGCAGGGAAGGTGCATGTTTTCCTGGGGTCGGCAAGCCATGCCGCAAAGGGAGCGCCAGGGGAATTGCAGGCCTGCTGGCGGGGTGCCGTTTTGCGACCCCGCCAACACCCCCCGAGGTGTTTTGGTGCTGTCTAAGCTAATTGCCGCAGCTGCTTGCGCGAACATGCGGAGGCGTTCCTGCTTGTTGAAACGGGCGTATACGGAGCGCATGGTCTCCGGGCTTGACCACCCACCTTGAGCTTTGATTATTTCGTCTGGCACTCTGGCATCAGCCTTCCACCAATGGGCCCCATATTTCATCATCTTTCCGCAGCGAATGGGTGCCTGTAGAGCCCCCGGGAAACACAAACGCGAGCGATTTGCGCGCGGTATCGGCGGAAATCGCCGATGGCACTGCCTCGTGTGTGACCAAAAACAGGGGGCCATCGGTGTGATCTGGCCACAGCCTTGCGCGGGTGGATACCCAGTCCCGCAACAGTAGCGCAGGACAAGAGCCTCCTAGGCGCGGGAAACACGGGATGATGCAACGCATCCCGGCTCCTAGCGGGTCATTCTTTGCTTCCTGATGAAAGCAACGGCGTGGGGGCCCTCGATCGTGAGATCCTCCGCCGCGAGGGATCGCATCTCGGCGGACCGCCGCGCGCCGAAGAAACACAATGCCGCAGCAGCCGCGTCCCGGACGCCCGCGGGAGAGTTGACACCGCGGCGCGCCTGCACGTAATGCAAGAGTTGCTAAAAAAGACAACGGTTCTTTGGCCCAGGACAGGGTGTGGTCTGCCTTTTTTTGAGGCCCTTCCAAAAACGCGCTGCGAGGTCAGACCACGCTGAATCGAACGGGCCCACTAGGCTCCGCTCTTGATGCCACGCCCGCAGTGCCGCGCGAGCGGTAGAGATCGTGCCCCACGGTTTGCCATCCATGGGGGCGAACAGGCACATAAGCTTTCTGTCTGAGCCGCACGGTAAAAGTGACAAGCCAGATGCCGTCTCTGCGTGGCTGGCCACAGAGCGAAGCGCAGCATCGTAGCGCGCGTGCGTGGATTCTTCACACGCGGCGCGTATGCGCGAATTCACCGTGGCAAGCGTTCTAGCTTGGAACGCCCGTTGGTCGGCAGTCGGGTCCGTGACTGCTGGAACGAACGAAGCAGCCATGCGCCAAAAGCGCGTGGACAAGGACAGGCAGAGCGACACGCCAAACGCGTGCAATAAAAAGTTACGCGAAGCAGCCTGCCAAAGTACAGAGACACACAACATCAGCATAGTAATACAAAGCGCCCGACTGTGAAGCAGAAAGAGCAGAGCGCCCCACGACTGTGAAGCGCAATATCTTTTTGCACGGCGAATCGTCGACGTAAGCCCGGCCTGGGATGACACAGCCCGCTGTCGCCGGACAGCTGATGCGATACGAAATTCATTGAAAACGTATCGGCTCTACCTGTGAGGACAAGAGGGGACGAGGAGGACGACGAGGAGAACGAGGAGGAGAAGGATAACACAACCAACGCTAATGCATGAAACTATTCGTCTACGCTGTACAAAGCAAAACGTGTTCAGAAACACTCGGAGGCCGGCCAGATGCCGCGAACCGGGCCTGTCTGGACCAAAGCGCTAGGCGCGCCACCAACGCACGTTGCGCGTTGGGCGGGGCCCGCTTTGGCTAGCTGACTGCCCGCAGCCGTGGCGCGTTTCACCGCGGCCGCGGTCTCTCACGGGGTTTGCGTTGCAAGTTGCGCAACGCCAGCCCGGGCAGGCTCGCCGGCGCCACTCTTGGTCGGTCGGGCGCCCCCGTGGCATTCAGAAGAGGACGAAGTCGACGAACCCGGCTCACTTGCGTGATTTGCATGAGTACCAAGCCCTCCTGCGCCGGCCTCCTTGCCGGGCCCTCTTCCTGAGCAGCGCGGCCAGCCGTGGCGGCAGCGTCCGTGGCGAAGTCATCATGGCACAGGAAAGCTGGGCCGATCCGGCGGCGTTTGTGGGCCGGAGAGAGCGACAAATCCATCGCGACAAATGGGTTTGAGCCGACGCCTACGTAGGGTTCGGCGGTCCGTCCGTGGTATTTGGTCTCGTCCTTGGCGCCTGAGGTCCGCGGAATCGTTTTCTGGGTGGGCTGGTGTGGTCGGCGCGTCTCCAAGGATGACTACCAAATACATGTACCAGCGCATACTCCAAACGTGAGAAGAACAATCGTAAGTCCCCCCCCTATGGCGGTGACAGCACGCACCTGGTTTGAATCCAGGTGGGCCCGAAGATTCACACCCATAACTTTTCAACCGAAGCCAAAAACAGAAAATGCGATGGCTCTATCTTCGAATTTGCCTTCCTGCGGTCCCGGCCCCGAACGCTTCCCGCAGACGGGCCAGTTTCGCCCGACTGGCGGGGCGCCCTGCCGCCGGGGGCCACATGGGGGGGGGAAGGGCGCGTGAGAAACATGCCACGGCTGCATCTTCGGATTTTTCTCCACCCGCGGCCCCGGACCCCACGATCCCCGCAGACAGGCCAGTTTCGCCCGACTGGCGAGGCGCCCTGCCGCCGGGGGCCACATGGGGGGGGAAGGACGCGTGAGAAACATGCTATGGCTGCATCTTCGGACGTTTCTCCCCCCGCGCTCCTGGACCCCACGATCCCCGCTGACAGGCAAGTTCGCCAGCTGGCGCAGCGCCCTGCCGCTGGGGGCGGGGTCACGGAGAAGGTGGGGGAGGGTGGACGGGGCCAAAACACAAGTCTAGAGGCAGAAACATCGGTCTCAAAACCTGGCTTCTCCAGGGGCGAGCGAGCGCAAGGCCGGGCAGGCGACCCCCCCGTCGTCGCCACCATCGTCGTCGTCGCCGTCCCCGTCCTCTTCCTCCCCCCCTCCTGTCCTCTCCTGGCCCCTCCCAACAAGCGTCGTCTGAATGTGCCCCCCCGCGTTGGGGCGCGCTCTGGCTGCGCGGCCGGCGGCGTGCCCGTGACGGAGCAAACGGGCAGGGGCGGGGGATCGGGCACGAATGAAGGGGAAACGAGGGGGAGGGAGGAGGGTGAGGGGGGAGGAGGAGGTCGCCAGAAGTTTTTTCCCGTGGCCCGCGGAAGACTGCTGGGGTGCCTGCCACGGAGCGTCAGCGGTGCACGTTGCGTACGGATGTACGCCGTAAAAAAAAAAACTGGCCTGCAAAAGGCGCGGGCGGATGGCTCGGCAGCCGGGAAACCTTCCCAAGAGGTTCCGGTGTGGATATTGATGAATCGTGCGTTTCCTTCGGTTTCCCGGCCCTGTCGCCCCTGCGAGGTTGCTGCTAGCTGCGCCACGAGGCGCCCTGGGCAATCTTTTGAACAAGGTCGTAAAGAACAAACGGCCCGGGCGGCGGGGCGCGGGGGCCGGGGAATCCCTTCTAGTGGTTTAGTATGTTGGATATGAATGGTACGTTGTGTTCGTTGCGTTTCCCCGGCCCCGTTGCTGCTGCGGATTGCAGCTCAGCTGCACTTGCAATCCTGCGACCAGCAGTGGCACACGTCCCCCGTGAGCCTGCCCGCGGCTACGCACCGCGGGCACGGGAGGACGCATTTGTTTTTGAGGTCGCGGCACTGCTTAAAGGTGTGCTCTACGACGCCCTTGCCGCTGAAAAGACAGTTTTTGCACACCTCCCGGCTGACCTGGAGGTCTGCCTTTTCGAGGCTGGACTCTTTGAAGCGCTCGTCGAACCACTGCTGGCAAAACTGCGCCGACTGTCCCGGCGCGACAGCAGCGTGGCCGGCCTTCATTTCTCGCACAAGCGCTTTGTGACTGGGGGCCGGCGGCGCCCCGGGAGTTGCCCAGGGACGCGCCGGCGGAGGGCCCCCCGCCGGAACGTTGGACCAGCGGTTGGCCTTCAGCGCGGGGCCCGCACGGGGCTCGAACCCAGTCGCGCTGACCTGGGGGCGGCCGCCGAACGGAGTTGCGCCCGACGGATCCCCCAGGCGCGCCGCGTTTGAAGCCGATTGCGACAAGTCGCTGCCGAACCGCTTCAGGCTGTCTGCGCGGCTCAGGCCGGCGGCCCCAGTCACGAGCGCCACTTCCCCGAACGCCAAGTGCAGGCCGAAGTCCCGAGGAGGACTTCGTGGTCGAAGGCCTGGGCCGCGCTCGGTTTGATTGTGCGTTTCTTGAAGGCCTTGATGGCGTAGTAGACCCACTCCATCGCCTTGACTCGCTGGGCCTCAGTTTTGAAGGCGCTGGCTTTGGCGCCTGTGAGGAGGGAGGTAAACCTCTTCTCCGTGAGGTGGTACAGCACGAGGATGCCGCGGCTGAGGGCTCGGACGTTGGGGTCCTTGTCTGCTTCAGCCCTCGCAAAGTGGCCGCGGGGTTCCCGAACTCTTCGATGGCGCCCCCGGCTGCCTCGACACTGTCCGGGTCGACCGCGAGCGCCCCCCACGCCGCCTTACATTGTGAAACCGTGAGGTTCCAGAGGGCGGCCCGCCAAGGGCATTCCGTGTCGGCCGCCCTGTTGCACTCGCTGGTGAAAGCCGTGGGTGGCGCCCCCTGGCTTGGAGGACTCCTCGGCGGCTGCGTAAACGGTCCCGCTCGGGAGGGTGGCCGTGGCGAGCTGCTCTGTGATCTTTTCAACGACTGAGTTGTAAATCATTCCTCTGGGATTCGGCTCGGCCTCGACTGCCCCGGCGATCAACGCTTTGACGCGATCTTCGTCCGCCATGCTGCTGCGCAGGCGGAGGCGGGAGGGCGCGCAAAGTGGGCCGGCGCAGTTGCTCGGTGTTCGGGCCGACTGGCGCAGGATGCGCGCGCCTTTCCCTGGCATGGGGATCCTCTTTCCTGCTCATCCCCCGCCTCCCGCCCCCTCCTCTCCCCCCCCCCCTAAGAACATTATCCTTCTGTCCTGCCCATGTCATCCCCTTACTTCCCCACCAACGGTCATCGTCTGACGCGGCCCCCGCCGAGTTAGGACCGGACGCCTGTTCGAGGGAGGGGCGGGAATTTGGGGCAGGCTGGATGGGGGGGGGAGGGGAAATTGGGGTCGGCAGGGCCGGGGAGGGAGGGGGGGGGCGCGCCAAAAATGCTGCGCGCGCGGTGTGAGTGCTCACGGCGTGGCCGCACCTGCTGCCCCTTACGCCCCCTCCAACTGTCATTGTGTTTTTGTTGTTGTTGTTTTTGACTACGCAATCTGCGCAATCATCGGTTACGCTGGGCTGGCCCCCAGCTGGCGAGAACCGAGTAGCGGAGGTCTGTGCGGGGCCCGCGCCGTAGCTGACCTTCTGAGGAGAGCCGCCTGAAGATATCCGAGCGGGGATCCCAGGAGCGGACCTGGTGCCAGGAGGACAAAACGCCCGCGCGGAACCACGGAGCTCCTGCGCCCTCTGGCAGCAGCAATAACATTTTGAGGGCCGGACGAGCTTTTCGCGCAGAGTTGAAAAAGTCCAAGCATGCCTGGGCTAGCGCCCGTGGCGGATGAGCCCAAACGACGTGCCCGTCGAGGCTGCGCTCGAAAGCTGTCAGCTCCGGGTATCTCCACTCTGCGGCTAGAGCGGACAGCCCGCGTTTGTCGGCAAAGAGGTCCAGCGCGCAGGCGACGTTGCATCTGGATTGCACTTCCAAAAACAAATCTTCACGCAGAACAGCATCTCTGAAGGGATCGTCGGCCCAGGCGGCTGCGAAGCCGGAGCCCCGAGAGCCCCTGTCAGCCACCGCGTTGAAGCGGCCGCCGGGGAGATGCGCCGCGACAGCCCAACACCCAGACGCCCGTTCGGCGTCTTCGAAGCATTGGGCAAGTTGTTCTAGGTGCGGCAGCTGGCCCTACCTAACGTCGACGTAGTGAACGGCACAAGTGTTGTCCATTCTGAAGACGACCCTCCAGCCTCGGAGGGCGACCCCTCCACGTCGCAGACACTCAACTGCCACCCGCAACTCTTTGTAGTCGATGGCGTCGGCCGCGGAAAACTGCACTTGCGCAGCAAAATCGCCGGGCCAGGTGCCAGAAACTACCGCCCCCGAGTTGCAGAGGTGGTAGCTCCAGCCATGGTCGCGCGAGGCGTCTTTTTCGATCACCTGCACCTTGCCGTCTGCTGCAGGCGCGCGCCAATTGGCGAACTCGTGGGATTTGTGCCCCCACGACGACAAGGCGCCCCCTTCGCAGAACACGTGTCTGCGCGGAGGCGTGGCGAAAGTTCGCATCAACCACGCCAGTGCCTGCTGGCTGTTGTCGGACAGGCGTACTGGCGGGTCGGCGCGAGAGGAGCTCTGCCAAGCTGAGTATACCCCGGCAGCATTCAGGTCGGCCCAGATGGGGTGTAGTCTGCGCCGGGCCTGCGGTAGTAACTCCGCAAGATGGCTGGCGATCCCTGCGGCCGAAGCGACCTGGCGACTCCGCACGGCCCATGTCAGCCTCGAGTACATCTTGGCAGACGCGCGTGTGTTTGTCGCAATTCTCTTGCGTGACAGTGACTACGGCTTCGGCCGCGTCGAACGTCCAGCCGATCCACGTCTGACGGGTCGCTGGCCCTTTCACGCCCGAAGGCTTCGCGCTGGTGGGCATGCCGCAATATAGAAAGAATTCAACAGCAACGCGCAGCTAGCGCCATGCCTCGGCTCTCGAGGTGGCCGCGCCGAAAAAGTCGTCGACGAAGTCCAGGAAGTCCACCCCCGTGCGTTCTTTGAGTAGCCGAAGCACCTCTTTGACAGAAGCGTCGTTGATGCCCGGGGCACTTTTGAAGCCGAACGGGAGAATGTTGCACTTCCCGAGCTGCCGCGTGCCGGGCCTTTAAAAACCGAGGAGAAGGGTGTCAACCTCGGCCACTTTCCAATCTTGGAGATCCAATACGAACATCCACGATGTGGCCGTGAAACGTTGTATCGCGTCTTCCAAGGTGCCGTAACGAGCCCCGATATCAGGGATACGTTCGTTGACTCGCCCTTTGCGCAAATCAACGATGAGGCGAGCCTTAAAACGTTGCTCGTCTGGCAGATCGCCCGACGCACCCTCCCGCGGTTTCAGGAGAAGTGCGCGCGGATTCACGTTCAGACCTGCCAGCTTAGGTTGGCCAGGCGGATGCAAGTGCACCTTGCCAAGTTTTGCAAGGCGGTTGCGCTCCTGCTCGGCACTCCTGTCCAAAACTCCCCCATTGAGGCCCCCCGGGTTTCGGGAATGCACCCCCTCGGGCTGCAGTTGCACCATCGGCTGCGCGGGGGCGGCGAACGCCCCGACCGCGGAGCTGCCACGGCGCCTGCGCTGGCCGACGCGCGCGCGGATCCAGCTGACGACCGAAGAGGACAAGGATAGGATGTTGCGTGCGCCCAACCCCGAAGCCCCTTTCCCGAAAGCAAGCCCCCTTAGAAAGACACCACCTGCGGGCTCAGGAATGGGCCCCAGCGCGGCTCGATGCGAGGCTCGCCCTCCACTTCCTCGGAGCGCCGCCCGAGGTGCTTCGCGGGCTCCTCTAGAACTTGTCGCACGTCGTCGGGGGGAAAATCGAAGGCATCCCAGGGCTGCGCCGATCCCTGCAAGAGGGGGACATTGTCCTGCTCGAAGGGCCAGACAGTCGAACGCCCCTCCTCGGGGCAGACGCCACTGGACTTGAGCAGCTCCTGAATGGCCTCTCGAGGCCGAAGGGCGCTGGGCGGCGGGCCGCGCCGCGCCGCGCCGCGAGCCGCTCGGCCGAACGGACTCCTGGGAGGAATATTCGGTCTCTGAACAACTCGAACGACACTGTACAAACGAGATAAATGACGCCACAACCAGCAAACATCGGATTGCCTGGTTTTCCTCTTGGAACGACCTCTTTGCAACCAGAACAGCCCACTTTACAACCATAGCGGCCTACTTCGCAACCCAGACGGGGCTGTGTACAACCAAAACGGCCGCTTTACAACCGACCTCCAGAAGCGCGCGAGCGCTCTGCAGAGGCCCGGGAGGCTTCAGAGCGCCCGAGCGCTCTGCAGAAGATTTTGAGCGCCTGGGCGCTCTGCAGAAGTTGTTGAACGCCCAGAGGCATCTGATCGCCCGAGCGCTCTGCTGAGGCCCGGCGCTCTGCATAAACTTCCGAGCGCATGAGCGTCCTGCAGAAGCTTCTGAGCGCCTGAGCGCTGCAGAAGCACCTGCGCGCACCGCAGAAGGCTTTGAGCGCATGGGCGTCCTGCGGAGGCCTCCGAGCGCCTGAGCGCTCAGCAAAAGCTTCTGCGCGCCCTGCAGAAGCTTCCACGGCTTCTGAGCGCCCTGCAGAAGCTTCTGCGGCGTCTGAGCGCCTGGGCGCTTTGCAAAGGTATCCAAGCGCCTGGGCGCTCTGCAGAAGCTTCTGAAACTTCTGAAGTTTCTGAGCGCCCTGCAGAGACTTCCGGGGCTCCTGAGCGCCTGAGCGCTCTGCAAAACTTCTGAGACTCTGAGCGCTCTGCAGAGGCCCCTGAGGCCTCTGCGAAGCTGCTAAGCGCTCTGCAGAGGCCCCTGAGGCTTCTGAGCGTCTGAGCGCCTTGCTTGAGCTTCTGGGATTTCTCAGCACAGTGCCTGGGCGCTCTGCAGAGGCTTCTGAAGCTTGTGAGCGCCTGAGCGCTTTGCAGAGGTATATGAAGCCTCTGGGTGCCTGAGCGCCATGCAAAAGCTTCTGAGCGTCTCGGCGCTCGCAGATGCCCCCAGGCGCGCGAGCGCTCTGCAGAAGCTTTCGAAGCTTCTGTGCGCTCTGCTGAAGCTTCTGAGCGCCTCTGAACGCTTCCAACTGGCCTCTTAGCGCTTCCCAATGGCCCTGAGTGCATACCAATGCCCTCTAAGCTTTTCCAAATGGCTTCTGAGCGTTCTTCAGAAACTCCCGAGCGCTCCACCGAGGCATCCCTCTGGATTCCCGTCCACATTCCGAACGATTCTCTCGGGTTTGATCTGGATTCGCTAGAGAGTCTGGAGGATTCAAAAGGTTCCGTAAGGATTTCGTATGACATTCAA